GACTGGAATCACTGGGAAGCGTTCAAGAGAGATTTTCTGGAATTTTTTCTACCACATCAATATTTCGAGCGATTGGAGGACGAACTGAGAAATCGATTGCAGAAACCAGGAGAGACGTTTAAAATGTATCTTTTGGAACTACAAAAACTAATGCGACACGCAGGTTTAAATCAAGAGTCGCAATTAGAACGAGTATATCGCAACATGAGCACAGAGTACCAAATATACATCAAACGTCGGAATTTCACTTGTCTGAAGGAATTAATAGCACTAGCTGAGGACTTCGAAGAATTACGCGAAGAGCAAAATGAAGTAAGTCGAGCACGAGATAGCGAGGTAATCTTCGGGCGCGTAGCAGTGGAATCTGCACGACCGCTGATAATACAGAAGACCATGAGACGCATAGCCAATACACCGAAATGTGATAAAGTCATTCATGGTCCAGTCTCCAAGTCACCTTTCCGCATCCAGCAGCAACACCAGCCAATCATCAAGCAAACACCTACAGGAACATCTAAAATTATAACTTCAACTACTCCAGCAAGTATACCAACACAAAGCATGCGACATCGAGATGACGCGGAACAACATCATGTATCACCGCAAGATCGCAGACTGATCCCAGAAAATCCAAAAATAAGTAAACAACAGCAAGTTCCACAAGAGCAAGAATCATTACCAGTCCAATTGAAACAAATGCAACAAGTGCAAGATCCGAGTTCTATCAGGCTGCAAATACTAGAAGTACAACCGGAACAAAGTCCTAAAGTCAAAGAAATGTCAGCAGAGTATTGTCAACCACGAGTCATACAAAAACAGGAAATATTACAAGTTGAAATGAAGCAAGCAGCACAGCACCAAGATCTAAAACATATAAAAAAGCAAATACCAGAAATACCACGACAACCAAATCCTAAATTCAACGAAATGCCAGCAGAATTTGGTCAACAGCAAGATAAACATGAGCACATGGCACAACAGCAAGATTCAAGACCTAGTAATATTGAAGAAGTACAACGACACCGAAGTTCAAGCCCTATCAATGTAACGCCACGTCCAGATGGAAAACAGCTACTAGATACCCCAGAGCACGCAGTACAAGAAGTGTTTAACATCTCGCAAGAACAAGCACCGTCAAAGACTTCGCTAATACCATGGAAGCAAAAAGATAAAATTATCAAAACGAATTCGACAAAAGGTCAAAAACATGACGAAATACTTAGTCTTACCAAATCATTAGCATTAACACAACTACCACATCAAAAGGAAAATAGTCCGATTCACCTAAAGGAAAAAACAATCCGTCTTCTAAAACAAGTAGAAGTATGTCACGCATCGCAAAATCCACCTAGTATTCAAAGTCGACAGCAACAAGTGAAACATCGAAGTGTATTTCAACAAGACGATCACCACATCAAAAAGCAACACGACTTCTATAAAATTTATAAGAGTCCAAAGCAACGTTACAGAAGCAGGGCTATGATTTAAAGAAGTGGTCCAGAGGCAGGCGTCATCGATTCAAGGCGACATGGGACGGCAAGACTCGACTGATTCGTATTGCCAGAAATGGAGATATCCGTATTGATATCCTCTCGTAAAGGAAGGAGGGAGTGTGACGACTAAATTTTTTGAATAAATTTTAGTCACACAATACGCATTTCACACGTTCACATTTTCACACGTTTCACCAAAATGCTGACGTCAAAGATAACTATAATTAAATAAAATTTGATGTTATGTACTCCAACATATCTAACATATGCTATACATACCTTGAAATACCCTGACGAATATTGATTTTAATTAATATAGTTCGAACTATATTAATAAAAATAGATTTAAATTATTTTCCCGAACCGCATGAAACACATTTTATTAAAAACAAAGCATAATCAAAACAAAATAGAAAAATGAGAAATGTCATTTATTAATTTGCTTTGTGCATTTCGGTTGATCGCCAAAAATTGCAGCGGATAATAGAAAAAAGCTGCGAGTGTAATTTAGAGCTTTCAGAAGTCTACAACAGAATACCTGATGAGGGGAAATGTTGAGGGTATTGACCGAACAACGGCTAGCAAAAAAGTCCGCTCGACGCAGTTAGGAAAAAAGGAGAATAAAAGGCGCAAGCGGAGAAGTTTCGGTCTCTTGGCTCGTGGTTATGTTAAACGAAACGCAACGTACCGGTGGTGTGAATTACTCAGTTTTTGTCCATATAAAGAAATAATTAATTCAAAAATTATTTATAAACTAAATTTTGATTTACAACTTTAATTATTTTTTTTGAAAAAAATTAAAAATTGCTTAAGAGCAAAAAGTGTAAAATAAAACTTTGATTTTTACTAATAAAATTTATTTTGGTGCTCGGGATAATAGTGATAATAGCCCCAGTATAAAAGAAATAGTTGACGGCTTTAACAGTGGTTAACTAAAAGATTTTGTACTGGTGCTCGTTCGAAGATTATAAACGTGTTGACACCATAAGCAAACGACGTGGCGCGGCTTTGGTGTCTCTTTGTCTCCGATACGTGGCAAAGTTTAAGGTGATTGGCGGTTCCTGATAATCAACGCTGGACATTGTAAGCTGCCCTGATGTACCAGAGAGGGTAAGGCTTATATATATATATATAAAATACAGAAGTCAACAAATAATATGTATAAAAATCGAAATTAAACCGAAAACAGGATATTTGTGGAAAAAATTTTATTCTGTAATATGCAAATTTAATCTCAAATAATTATAAAGTGTAACATTAAAAATTTAATTACTGAATCCACAATTAAGGAATGTAAAAATATTATATAAAAATTCTAAGTGAAATATCAAAGTAATCTTCCCTTATATTTTTATTTAAAAACATTTTATGAGTTTTTTTTTATAAATTTTGTTGTATGTAAATGAACACAAAGAAGGCATTTATAAACGTGAAACTTAAAACATGATTAATTAATATTATTTGATTATTATTAACTACGAGTAATTATAAAGACATTATTTGAAAAATTGTTTTTTATTTAAAATACAAATTGTTCAATACAAATTGAAATCAGTTAAATATTATTTGATTAGTATTAACTACGAGTAATTATAAAGACATTATTTGAAAAATTGTTTTTTTTATTTAAAATACAAATTGTTCAATACAAATTGAAATCAGTTAAATATTATTTGATTAGTATTAACTACGAGTAATTGTAAAGACATTATTTGAAAAATTGGGTTTTTATTTAAAATACAAATTGTTCAATAAAATTGAAATCAGTTAAATATTATTTGATTATTATTATTTACGAGTAATTGCAAAGACATTATTTGGAAAATTGGTTTTTTTTTTATTCAAAATACAAATTGTTCAATAAAAATTGAAATCAGTTAAATATTATTTGATTATTATTAACTACGAGTACTTGTAAAGACAGTATTTGATAAATTGGTTTTTTTATTTAAAAATACAAATTGTTCAATAAAATTGAAATCAGTTAAATATTAGTTGATTATTATTATTTATGAGTAATTGTAAAGATATTATTTGATAAATTGTTTTTTTTATTTAAAATACATTGATTGTTATACATATATTACCAATTGTTTAATAAAGGAAAAAAAAACTTGAATTCGAAAATAATTACTTTGTTACGACATCTTACTTCAACGGTAGAAACGACATTAGTTGAACGCTGGGTCCCCGCGAATAGAAATTTTCTTGTAAGACCTTGGACTAGGCTGAGAACTACCCCGGCTAGGAAAAAGTAGGTTCATTACAACCCTAAATTTCTGCAAATTTACTTCATGGGCAGTGAAGAAGATAGAATAAATGCAAGATGCAACTATAATCATATTGAAATAAATGCAGAAAAAGCATTAGTAGCATCTTTAGAAGCGTTTGTAAATGAGAACAATCAGTTAATAAAATTGTTCAAAGGAGTGTCGAACAGATTACAAAATGACAATTACATGATTGTAATCAAAGCCGACAAAGTACCAGTTGGAGAACATACACGACGATTTAACGCTCTAAGTATAAATGAAATCGCTATTGTAATAGTTGGCGAACAATTTGAAAAACGAGACATTAAAATTATGCGTAAAGATAAAACATGGCAAACAATTGAAGATACTCATCGTTCATGTGATGCATTGCAATATCCCCTAATATTATGGGAGGGAGAAAATGGATATCAAATCAATATTAAACAACGAAATCCATTAACTGGTGTGTAGTTTTGTAACTGATTGAATAGATTCCGTTTAGTAACCATTTATTAAATTATTTTCAGGTGAAGAAACAAACAAAAATGTTAGCGCAATGAACTATTACTCATATCGTTTCATGATCCGAAACCATGAAGATAATCACATTTTGAAGTGCCGTCAATTATTTCATCAATACATAGTCGATATGTACGCAAAAATTGAAAGCGAACGATTGTGATACATTCGATTCAACCAAACAAAATTGCGTGCAGAAGAGTATATACATCTACGCGATGCTGTTAATAATAATATAGATGGGAATTTGAACCTTAGTAATATTGGTAATGTGTTCATACTTCCATCTTCATATACTGGCAGCCCACGTCATATGCAAGAATACATCCAAGATGTAATGACGTACGTGCGTGCATATGGTCGACCAGATTTATTTATAACATATACATGTAATCCGCAATGGGATGAAATAAAAAAATTGTTATTATCTGGACAAACGCCGATTCATCGTCAAGATATTACCGTACGGGTGTTTAAACAAAAATTAAAATCTTTGATTGATTTAATTGTAAAAAACTCTGTATTTGGAGAAACACGTTGCTGCATGTATTCTATTGAGTGGCAAAAAAGAGGTTTGCCACCTGCTCATATTTTAATTTGGTGTGTTGAAAAAATCAGACCTGAAGAAATTGATAAAATAGTTTCTGCAGAAATTCCAGATCTAAATGGTGACAAAGAGCTATTTGCAATTGTGACAAAAAATATGATACGTGGTCCATGCGGAAATTAAAATATGACGTCACCTTACATGGAAAATGGTAAATGCACAAAAGGATTTCCAAAAGATTTTGTTAGAGATACGATAACTGGAATTGATGGCTATCCTATATATCGTCGAAGAAATTCGGAAAATGGAGGCCAATCCTTTTCACTAAAGTTGAGAAATATTGAATATGAAGTTGAAGTAGACAATAGATGGGTAGTGCCATATTCGCCATTGTTAACCAAGATATATAAAGCGCACATCAATGTAGAATTTTGTAGCTCCGTAAAATCAATAAAATACATTTGCAAATATGTTCATAAAGGTAGTGATATGGCAGTATTTGCAGTTCAAAATATAAATGAAAATGACGAAATAACACGCTACCAAATGGGCAGATATATCAGCAGTAACGAAGCCATATGGCGAATTTTTGGTTTTCAAATACACGAACGAGATCCAGCTGTAATACATTTAAGTATACATCTTGAAAATGGTCAAGGTGTTTATTTCAATGAACAAAATGCAATAGAAAGGGCATTAACAGCACCAAAAACTACGTTAACCGAGTTCTTTGAATTGAATAAAGAACAAAACATTTTTGGGCAAAACGCAAGAACTTTACTTTATTCGGAAGTTCCAACATATTTCAAATGGAACAAAACTTTAAAAAAGTGGCAGCCACGTAAACGAGGTGTTGCAGTCAATGGTTATCCAGGATTATTTTCAGCAAACACACTGGGTCGTTTATATACTGTTCATCCAAAACAACGAGAGTGTTTTTTTTAAGACTACTTTTCATAAATGTACGCGGTCCAACATCGTATTAGTATTTGAGAACTGTCAATGGTCAGCTACACAATATATATCATGCTCCATGTGGAGAATTGCAATTGCTGGAAAGCGATAATCATTGGGACATCACGCTCCGGGATGCAGTATTAAGTTCTTTTCCAAATCAAATTCGTCAATTATTCACCATATTGTTGACAACATATTTTCCAAATAATCCCAAAGAATTGTGGGAAAAATATAAATGCTCAATGAGTGAAGATATACTACATAGACATAGAACAACAAATCATGACTCAAATATTCAATTCAATCGTGAAATTTATAACGAAGCTTTGATTATGATCGAAGACTTATGTTTACTTATATCAAATCAACCACTTAAATTATTAGGATTGTATTCGCCAAATCGTTTGGCAACCGATCTATTTAACAATGATATGCAGCGCGAACTTCAGTACCAACAAAAGCTTATTTATGATCGGGTTTCGAACGCAATTGCGGCAAAAGAAGGCGGCTTTTTTTTCTTGTATGCACCAGGTGGAACTGGAAAAACTTTCTTAATTTCAGTCATTCTTGCAAAGGTTAGGATGCAAGGTAATATCGCTTTAGCACTTGCATCATCTGGAATCGCTGCGACATTTTTAGATGGTGGTAGAACAGCCCATTGGGCACTAAAGTTGCCACTAAACATACATTCATGTGAAAATGCAGTATGCAATATAAAGAAACATTCCAATATGGCTAAAGTACTTCAAAAATGTCACATCATTGTTTGGGATGAATGCACAATGGCACATAAGTATTCATTGTAAGCATTAAATCGTACACTTAAAGATTTAAATGCCAACGATAGACTTTTTGGAGGCGCTTCAATTTTATGGGTAGGTTATTCCACGTTCAACCTATGCTGATGAAATCAATGCTTGCCTTAAATCATCTTTTTTGTGGCGAAGTATCCATATATTGCGACTTACCGAAAACTTGCGTGTTGGACTACAGAGAGATTTAGCTGCAGAACTGTTTGCCAAACAATTGCTGGATATTGGTGATGGAAACGTAAGTCTTCATGAAAATACGCACTTTATTAAATTCCCAGAAAATTTTTGTAAAATTGTTAATTCGAAAGAGGAATTAATAGAATGCGTATTTCCTCACATATATCAAAATTATCAGAACCATCAGTGGCTTCAAAGTAGAGCGATTCTGGCTGCCAAGAACTTAGATGTCGATGAAATCAATTCCAAAATTCAAGCTATGCTACCTGGTAATTTAATTTCGTTAAAATCCATCGACATAGTGGTAGATGAAAACGAGATTGTGAATTATCCCACTGAGTTCTTAAATTCGCTTGATATGCCAGGACTACCACCACACAATTTACTTTTAAAAGTTGGTTCACCAATCATTTTATTACGCAATCTAAACCCACCAAAATTATGTAATGGAACAAGATTAGTAATTAAAAGAATTATGGGGAACTGAATTGAATTAAGTGGAAAATTCAGAGGAGAAAATATATTGCTTCCACGCATACCAATTATACCAACCGTTGTTCCAATTCAATTCAAACGATTGCAATTTCCAATTCGTTTAGCATTTGCGATGACAATTAATAAATCTCAAGGTCAAACATTAAAAGTATGTGGACTGAATTTGGAAAATCCATGTTTTTCGCATGGGCAACTATATGTTGCATGTTCCCGTGTTGGAAAACCTTCTGATCTATATATATACGGTCAAAATGGCTTAACAAAAAATATTGTTCATGATTTAGCTTTAAGATAACATAATAGCTCATAATAAAACTGTTAATATAATATTAAAAAAAACTTTTTTTATTTAAAATGTAGTGCTTATAAGGATTTGAAGTAACATGAAAATATTTGTAAATAAGTAATGCATGTGCACATTTTGCAGTTCAAAAGAAAAAATCAATTCAAAATAATTTTCGCAATAAAATGCTAAAGGTTAAGTTGAATAACAACAAATATTATAACTCAACTGAGCCTGGAAAATTAATTGCAAGGGGAAACAACGTTCGCCGGGTCAGCTCGTTGTCATATATAATATAAATGATCTTTATTACATAAAGATCCTGCCAGAACTTTATTACATTATTATATAGCACATAAATATAATATTACATGGCGATCCTGCCATGCCAATTAGTACAATACATTTGAGACGTTGGTGCACTCGCAAGTATTTCCACAGGCATACAAGCTTGACAAACTGCGAGAAGCAGTCCATTGTGACGTACTGGCAAAAGTCGGAGGGATGTACAATGACAGATAAGATAAGGTATGTGCAGTACTGAAGGCTCGGTATGATAATCTGAAACAGCTGGTTGAAATACACATGGCCAGACTAATTGGCTTCAATTAACTACAAGCCGATTCACAAGCTGAGTCTCTACGTTACTCTCGATGGTTGACATAGTGCGAGAGTTCTTGCAAGCGCTTGCGGTAATGAACCTACTCATGGATAAATGGGATGCATTGGCGTGTAACGACACACTTTTTGTCGCTGATGATACTGAGGTATACTCAGCCGTCGTCTAGGGGTCGTTGCAGTATAATATATTTTTTTCCATATCAAAGAAAATTTAGTATATGTGATTACTGATTTATTTATAATTATAATTCAAAAAAAAGAAAGAAAACGAAATGTTACAATGTAAATATTATGGTGAATTGTGTTGGCCTCCTATGGAAATTTTCGGGGTTTGGCTAAATGATCTGGGCGTTGTATAGTACTTCCGGACAGATGCCGCTATACTTGGAATTCAAACTTGGAATTTTATTTCGGATTACAAAACATCAACCTATTAGTCCAGATATATAAGCTACATTGACTTGTTACTCACTACTAGTCAAGACGTATGAACTACTTTGACGTTTATACGAAGCTACCAGTCAAGACGTATGAACTACCTTGACGTTTATACAAAACTACTAGTCAAGAGGTATGAACTATCTTGACATTTATACAAAACTACTAGTCAAGACTTATGAACTACCTTGACGTTTATACAAAAGTACTAGTCAAGACGTATGAACCACCTTGACGTTTATACAAAACTACTAATTTCTAATTCCTTGTTTTTGCAAAGACGTATAACTGCCTTCGAGAGTTTTCCAACAAGTGCCCTTGCTTGTACAATGCGCGTTTATTTATACTCAAACAACCGAAGCCTTTCCAGTAGCGCATCGGTACATTTGCCGTTTGTATTGTTGATACTTGTTATCTTTTGTTGCTGTTGTTCGCCTGGGTGTAATTTCTGTGCTATGTGTTTTCGTGTGTTCTTGAATTTGCCGTGCTTTGTATTTAGTTCAACTAAAGTTTTCATGTTTTGACGTTTCTTGTCCTGTTTACAAATGTGTTTTTTTTATAGTGCTGGTAATAATTATTATTATAAAATATAATATTTATATTTATTTATTAATAAATAATAAAAATTAATAAAACAAACAAGAAAAACTAAAATAAATATATGAATAATATAATCTATTTGATTTTAGATTATATTAAAATTGTTGCGTGTTAAACAAAGTGTATTGTGATGTGTAACTAAAATGTCTTTTGAAGTTATTAGTATAGTGTTGTTGTTGTTTATATTTAATCTATGTAGGTTGGAAATATGTGAATATTTCCTTCCTTACAGCGACACCCATTATCGTGGCCAAGTTACCAACCGTTACGCAACAAGCATGAAGCATGAACCACACAACGAATCAAATTCCTTGTGGAAAACAAACCAAAATCTGATGGGCAGGCTGCTACAGTGCAATATCGTGGCACACTTCAGGCTGAATATAAAATGCAAGGCATACGTCTAATGAGGACAAACCTAATAACAACAACTGCAGGCCACTGCCAAGTTTGCAATAACGCAGCGCATCAAATAGGCAACTGCAGTGGAGCAGTTCTCACTGCTTAAAGGCTCAAATCTTTGCTTCAATTGCTTGAAGCCTGAACATTTCACTAAGGTATGCGGCTCAACTAAATGTCGCTCATGCAATGGCAGACATCACACTCTACTATGCCGAAGTTCACCAGTACAAATTCCTTCTTTGCAGGAGTCCACACAGCGGGGGACAAACTACACCCCAGGCACCAGCGAAACCAAACCAGGCTGGCATCCCACCACGTGTGCATCAGTGACTACACCATCCAATGCAGACATTCGCTACTGTTAGTAATGGCGTTATACTCTTGGCAACAACACAAATTTACATCTTATTATAAATGGCTTTGGCGGCATCGACTCATGTCGAGCTCTATGCGATCCAGACTCCCAGGTAAGTCAAATCACTATACGATATTTTAATCAACTGGCTCTGCGGAATCAAGGCGTTGGCAATGACAATTGCTCAGATACTATTTGCCGGGCAGTCTTACATATATTTTCGACTGTGACTGTGATTCATTTGGCTTGGATGTTGAAGTCTACATTATCAACAAAATTCTCTCAGCAATCCCTGTGGCTCCGATCATTGAAAACTGTTAGCAGCATTAACGCAATTTATCTGTGGCCAACCGGAAATTTGGCAAGACTGGTGGCACCAATGCATTGCTTGGCTCTGAAGTGTCGGCCCAATTGTTGGTTGATGCCATAGTTCGTCGTGAACTCGATGATCCTGTGGCACAAAATTCACATTAAGGCTGGCCTGTGTTCGGTTAAACCGAAATAACCATTCACAACTACAAGGCGGAACAATCTATGGCATTGGGAGTGAAAACGTATGATGATCAAGTTGATTACCTTCTACACAGGCTATTTGAATCTGAAAAACTGACATGGATAAAAGAGATCAACTACCAACAGTTGATCTTTGCGAATACATTTTCATGAACGTTTTCGTGGCAAAATTCTAAGTCATTTTCAATGCTTTCACTAAAACATCAAATGGCATTTCATTAAATGATACGCAATTGACTGTCCCTTCAATACAGGATATATTACTCAATCTTTTGCTTTGCTTCAGTCAGCATCGAATTGCATTCACAGCTGATGTGGAGAAAATGTTCAGCCATATCAAAGTTGATGACAGGCATAGGCAAGGACAACAGATACTCTGGCGGGAATTATCCAATCAACCTATTCGCACTTATCAATTGGCTACCGTTACATATGGCACAACTAGTGCCACATATTTAGCTGTTCGCGCTATTTAGCAATATGGCAGAGATCATTTTCATAAACTTCCGCATAAACTAGGAGCTAAAAATGCTTTGTACAGCATCCTGATTGACTTCTACGTGAATGACTACCTTAAAACTGTAAGAGGAAATGCAAACCAAAAAGCGCTGAAGCCTTGGCACATCTTCTTGGGGATGCTGATCCATGTCAGCTCAATTCACAATTATATTATCCATTTGAAATGTTGGCACCACTCATATATCGAAGGTAGCTACTGGAGGCAGTGCGAATACCGCGTTTGATGGGCACACAACCCGGAGATGAAAGACAACTTAATGGCTTTTACGATGCTAGTGTCAAGACAATGGCTGCCGTACTCAATTTGGCAACAAACCGCGATGATTATATCACTAGTCACATCATCACATCAAAAATTAAGCACCATTACATTCGGTCACAATACCCCGTTTGGAACTTTGCTCTGCGCAATTAATGGTTACCCTTTTACACGAAACAAGGCAGACTTTGCATCTGTAGCACGTACCATACACTCTATTCTCCGACTCAAATATTGCACTATGTTGGCTACGTAAAAATACATCACAATTAAAGCAGCACATTAAGGATGAACGTTGCTTTAAATCACTGAGTCCGTTCATCAGCTCCACTGCGGACAATATATTGCGAGAAGGTGTGCACTGTCCTAAGAAAAGGCAAATGCAACAACGATGGAGTCCTTTCATGCTTAACAGGTTAGTTATGAAAGAGGAAGAATGCATGCTAAGACAGACAAGCAGTGCATAATAATTATGATTGTAGGGTTCAAACACCCATCAAGTTCGAGCCCAGTAAGATTCTGATTATGGCATATTGGAAGATGTGAAATTGGTAGAAATTAGTTACCCTTGGGCTGGTGAAGGTGTCATTCTGGAACCGTTTTTTTTTTCTAAATCCATTTATTTTAGTACAATCTGTCAGCTATGAATGACAATAAGTAATATATATAATTATAAATCGTAGTAATAATTATTACGATCTAAAAAAAGAAAGACACGTATGGACTATGCCCAGTGACATATACATATATATTTAAAATAACAATGTGTGATCTACATATACATATCTAAAATATCTCTCAATGTTTTCCTTCTCAGCCTTGTAAAAGTGTTGGAAGGGGACATCAGGTGTGCAATTCTTTAAAATACTAGCTATTTCTTCCTTGATTGTCCGAACATGTAATTGTTTATGCACCAAGGTGCATTTGTGATCATTCGCAATGTTTTAGATTGGAAACTGTCAATAATTGCCAGGTTTGAGTCTGCTGCAGTACCCCATAATTGGGCCCCATAACTCCATATAGGTTTTAGTACATACAGATTTGTATATGAGCAGCTTATTGTCTAGTGACAGTTTGGAATTTCGGCCAAGGAACCAAAATAAGTTTCGTAATTTAAGACCCAGGGCCTTACGCTTTTTGAATATGTGTGATTTTCAGGTTAGCTTACTATCCAGAGTTTTATCCGCTGGGAATCTCGTCTTTTGTCAATGTTTTCTCATCCTATACTTTTTTTGATCAGGTATCTACTGTTAAATGGATAATCTTGCTTAACAGTGGAGTTGATTCCCATGCGGACATTTTGAA